TCAGCTTGTATTCTATCATTTCAATCAGGCATAATGTCAACTTGAATATAGCAGATATAATTACGGTTTTGTGCGTAAATCAATTGTTATTATGACTGAAATTAATATTATCAGGTTTATTTATTAGTTGAGGAAGTTTTCTTATTCACCTAATAGAAATAACGACTGTAAGTCTTAGCACCTGAAACCTGAACGTTACATTACATCTTACTACATAAGAAAACTGTAGGCAATCAATTATCAATTATCAATCATTGAGATGGGGACGCCACCTAGGTGCGTATTTTAACCCAAATATGAGTGAAAGATGAGTGTAGAATGGCGTGTGATGACCTGTGTAGCTTTGTTACTGACTAAGATCAGCGGTTTCATTAGTCAGGATCATTTATTTAAAGCCCAATGATCAGGAACAGCTGATACATTCTCCTATATTCTCCTATAGAAGAAGTATCTGTTGCAGTTGGTTGCACGATAAGACCTAGACCCGGGACCGATTTACTTCTTCATTTTGATGTCCTAGAGACCAAAACTCATGATACTATTGAGAACATTAGTTTATATATCAATGTCTCTTTCTGATTAGTCTATTCGTTTACTGAACATATTTTTGAATTACAATTTGAAACACATCGAATGCTATATGCTATTGATCCGTGAGATATTCCTTTTTTTATTATTGCAATTACTGCCCATAGTTTCAAGCTTTCCTGAAACTACTCTGAGATTTAACAGTAAGGGTGTTAACAAAATTTGTGCAGCAAAATAATTTGTATAACAAACATTAAAGAGGAGACCGCACATTCAAAGAGAATACTATTTATTTTTTCGGATTATATTACTTCTATTTTCTAAATAAATAAGAATTTATGATTCCATTTTTCTTTGATATTGTATTTAATGTAGGGTTTCCGAGCGCTGCTTTTTTGTTGGAACGCCACCATTAACGAGATTAATAGAAGGAATCAAGGAACAGAACAAAGGTATTGTTCTAGAGATCCAGTTCACGCGTTCCTTTTAGCAAAAACCGCAAACAAAGGTGTCTGAGAGTGCTATTAAGGATCTTACTGTCATTTTAGGAACCATTAATTTATTTGCTCACACTCAATCTTCTACTGTACTTTCTGCAACATTTTGTTGATATAAAAAACTTTCGATTAACTTTTTAATACCTTACCTTTTAAACCTCCTCTGATAAACAAGCAAGTTGAAACTTTTAAACACCAGCACTGAATACTTTGTTCTGTCATTTTTTCTTACGTTATTTTAACAATTATTTGGTCAAACACTAGTATACTAAATTAATTTTGGACATCAACGTGAAAATTATATAACTATCTAAGAACATTTTGGTTTAAATAAAGATACATAGTTGGATGGGCCTATCAAACAGTTGCTATTTTTGAAGTGTTATACTGTACTACGATAGTTTATAGGGACATCACACATGCTTTGTTACAATCCGTCTTACAGTATAGGATGTCTAAGGTTTTGTTGTAAGAAATAATTAGCTTTTTACAACAAAGTACCTATTACATGGCTTGATATTGCTGATTCTCTTAAATTCCAAAACTTTGTACAACCTTACATTTAAATGGAAACTATTATATTAGTGTACACGTTTAGGCACAGATAAAAAATGACCAATTCATCAAATTAAGTTTTAATATCAACATATGAAAGTACAAAACACATCTATTTCCACGAAAGAACTACTCTAACATTTAATTAGACAACAACAAAATGCATTATGTGTAGGGTTGCTTTACATGATCGCTTCGTAATTCATCGACAACGTCATATTCCACGTATTAAGCAGTGATTCCCTTACAGTTCTTGTTGGCAAAGTGATTACCCTTGTTAGCTAAGGTCTCTGTTTCTGCATATCAATGAGGTGTAGGTTCATTCTCTGTTAGCTTTGTAGTTACAGGCACTGTACAAACAATCAAAGACAAGCTGTTGACTCGATAGTACTTGGGGACCGAGCTTTGTTTTAGAAACTGTTTCTCCATTTTTGTCGTAGACTTATTATTAGTGCGTACAAACATGATATTTATTACTGATTTCCGTACATTTTTATTATTATTGACTTTTCAAATCAAATCAAATCAAAATATCTTTATTCGTACAAGACAAGTACAAGCCTTTGGATAGTGCAAGTTGACTTCTTATTTTATTAAAAAAAGGCACCTTCTTTAATGTGTTTTTCACACCTCGGACTTTATAATGAAAAGCACATGCAAGCGCAGTTATTGAATGAATAGCCATAGCTTTTAAAACCTTTCAGTTTCGTTGTAAAATATTGTGTTGAGCATTTCTTTAATTTGCAATGGCGTTTCGTAGTTACATGAAACATAAATAAGGCTCGAAACTTGGTAGGGAGGTTACGTTGCGGAGGTTTCCCCCTTAATAATGTAAACAGCTGATTCACTTACGATCCACCGGGACTTGGTTTGTTTGAATTTATACTGAGAGACACATTTTGCTTGTAACCGCATCGACTACAGGTTTTAGGAATATTATAGTTAAATATAATAATCCGTTATGTTAATAATCACGTCATCCTTTGTGTAGTGTTGACTTATGGACGTCATTTCATTTCATGTTATAATTTATTTCATAGAATAACAATTAACCAGAAGCAATATAGCTTTACCGTTACCAACTAGATTAGATTATGTGTGGTAACTATAATAAATTCAATTAGTGAAATTGCAAGAAAAATTTCTATAAAACCATATGCAATTTCTGATGGAAATATTGTCAGTGTGACTTTGAATAGAACACATACTTTTCATATTTGATCAAAAACGTGTTTAGTTTTTAACTATAATATTGTGGTATAACTACCTCGTCAAGTAATCCAAATGTTTTGATGTTAGGTTAATAACCTACATGTTTCACCGTTAATACGGCATCGTCAGGGTACAAACACAGAAAGACATTACTGTCACACGCACACAATAACTAAATACACAACATATTTCACTATAACAATAATGTATCAATCTAATATTTCTAGCTCAAAAGATCTGCATGGAAGTTATTACTAATAGTCCAGTCAGCAGGTAGTTGTAGATGGAAAAAGGTCTGAAGTTAATAAGAATATTGGAAATGTTGTTCAAGGCTGATAAATCAAAATTTTCCCAAGTTTTGGACCTCAAAGACCCTGTGGAAAAAAAGAGGATGGGGAAAAATCTTCAAAATTGTTGACACTCTTTTGCTTTTCTCTCAATAATTTTTCCCCTTACTTTATACCGAAAAAGAATACCTTACACTTTAGTAGAGGGTTAAATAAGATCTACAAGTCACATGACAGTTCCATTTGTTTGATGTTGATGTATCTCGTACAATAAGATACACTAACCATGTTTGTCACAGTGACTACTGAGTGAGGTTTGGTTACTGATGACAGTAGACATACGACGTGACATGGTAGGCTTAGGCATATACAATGTACATTGTACAGCGTAGTGTAATTGTACTACATTATTCAACTCATGTGAACCACTTTTACTTTACATTTCTGTAATCGTTAATTATACTTCACTTATTTTTTAGACGTATTTAGAACGTTACCTAAATAATTTTAAAAGGTCTCAACAATAATATTGGTTACATCTACCATTCTTCCTTTATTAAATCAACTGTCCTTGCTTTCGAACATGTTTCTTAATAAACGTTGTTGAAAGAACATTAAAAACTCTTCCACTACGTAAACTTTTAAATTCTTGAATATACCCGTTATTCAGGTTGATAGATGGGGTGACGTAATAATTCAGCCGCCAGATGTTAGTATGCGGATCACGCTGTTGTAATCGCAGCCATCAACGATTTGACTGCGACTCGTTAGCAGCTCTTCAACTAAACGTTCCCGACATATCGTCGCTTGTTACAAACTCGCAGTAAAATTTGGTGTATAAAAAAACTGTTATTATTTTCGCTTATAAACTAAAAAAATCTAAATATATTCTGCGATAATTTTAGTTACAACAAAAGTTGTTCAAATAGCTGAATGGTTATAGCTTGCATTACAATTTTATGTTTACTATTTCGATCCTAGTAAGGTTGAGTCTAGATCCAGGCGTAATTGGTCTTTGGACTGTCTATTGATTAAATGTTTTTTTTCCAAAATATTTGTGTTAGTAACAAAATGTCGATATTAGAGAATAGTAAGGGATTCGACTCTACTTTTTAAATAAGGTCAAAAATGCCTTAAGTTACATAAGCATAGGTTAATTTTTTTTTACCTTATAATATCTATTTCCTTATTTAAATCTTTGTCGTTAATTATATTTATGTTCAAAAAAAGGAGATCTGGAATATTTAAAACGGAGAAAACAGTGTTTTGTAGTCGAATTGTTGAAAATAAAATAGGCCACACTTTACCATACTGTGTAGCCAGTCGTAATTATAAACCTAAACAGATTTTTATGACAACCAGAAAATTCAGCTTAACTGAAATTGAACGCTTTTGCTCTTTATACGGTAATGCTGGATTTCAAAATTATTATAATTAATTTTTATTGCATAGCAATCAATCTACCTTTTGTAAAATTTTATTGGAAAATGTTCATTATTTCATCCACTCGTATAAAAATAGTTAAGGAGAATTGGCAAATGTTCTCTTGGAACTCAGTGTAATCGTTCATAGTCGATATTGGTTGATTTCTGACAACAATTAATTAACCATTCTACTGCTATTACAAGCTTGATCGACCATTATAATATTCTCACCAAATAAAATTTTTTTATTTTCTGTGTCCTCGATGTATATTCATCTATTTATGCCATAAAAACATCGCTGTTACATATTTAGTGTTAATCGATGTTTGTTGATTTCCTTAAATAAAACTGCTTTTCTAGTTTCAGAGTTTTTGATCGACGTTCATCAACTTATGGCATGAAATACTGACATTTTCGTGGTTTTTTAACGTCTACGATCTTTTATAACTCCAGATTATATGGCTTGTTCTTCATAACAAATATTTTATTGTTTTCAGATGTTCGATGACTTCATCTTCGCCTTCTTTGCTCTGGAGATGTCCATCAAGATGATAGCTATGGGAGTTTATGGGAAAGGCACGTATCTCGCAGACTCATGGAATCGACTTGATTTCTTCATTGTGTTAGCCGGGTGAGTTTATAACGATGTATAATTTCATTTTTCATTATTATTGTTTTCCTTTTAGCAAATTTCTCATATTTGGAACATGCCATTGCCATAGGTCTCACGGTAAAACCTGGGCCCGGAACCGATTTACTTTTTCGTTCTGATGTCCTCAGAGACCAAAAACTCCATCCGTGAAAATTAATGTACATGGTAATATGACTAATTATTGTATAGATATAAATCAAATTATAATTGAGAGCTTCTTAGATATGAAGAATCTATATTGATTATTAACGTAACGATAAAATAGAAGCCAAACATTTAAATTATTAGTTATAACAATTAGATATTCTATTGTATGACAAGCAATTATGATAGTTTAAGAGATTAAAATTTTAAAAGTTGCACATTTCAGCAAAAATGTTATCGTGTTAGCCTGAATTAAAGTCTATATTTGTCATGGTTGTTTACGGCAGTAATAAAATTTAACCATGTTTCCTGAAACTATTCACGTAATTGTGCAGTAAAGTTTATTACATATGGTTTTGCATTTTCATTAGTGTGGTAATGCAATCGTAAATTCAACCATGGCCATAAGTATATTAATCACCATAAAGTAAAATTAGTTCTGTTCTTATAAATTGTTATAAACATTCTCATTGCGTTTACTACTTTTGTTTTATGTGTCTCTAAAATGTAACGCTTGTTTATTACCCTACTCTGTTATACGTTTTTCTGACCTTTTGAAAAGGGGGAAAAATTATGAAAAAACTCACCCCCCAAAAGATTTGCTTGAAAAGTATCTAAAATACATCTTGTACTTAATCCAAGTACTCAGGATATCTATATCCCTAATCTTGTCTGTCTAACTGTCCAGGCTTTCATAATTTTTATATAAAATACGATGTTTACTTATTAAATGATGATGGCAGTTGTATTTTCTATATTTATGTCATATACAAATTCACAACTATTTTTAGCATTAGCAGTTTTTAAGCCCCTTAAAAAGTTCTGTTTCAAAATCCTAAGTCCTTTCCCTGTTAGAAAGCTCTAGTAAACCTATTACAAACTAATTTCTACACTTAACTCATTCAATGCAAATTTAAGAGCCTTTCAGCTTAACTGAAGAAGGTACATTCAAATGCCCATTCTTGTTTGGAACAGAGGAACACTTTGTATTATCTGTTTTGTGGTATGGTTCTAATCCTTTGTTCCTGCTGGTTACCATTTAATCCACTCTTAACCCTTTCCCGGTCTGATAGTCCACCTGGGTTGCTGGTACTGAACTGACCCTTTGGTGGAACATCGTTATCTCTTTACTATTTTACTTCGCTAAGAGATAAAACTCGTTAACTTGTTGAGTAATGGTTTCCAATTTTGAGTTTTATTATTATTTTAGCGGATTTACCTTGAGTAGATATTGTTTTTCATAATTAGACTGCGTTCTGTGACTACGGTTTATTTTCACTTTTAAGTCTGAAATTTCCAAAACAAACAGTTTGTTTGCCGAAGTCTAGCTTTACCATTAAAACCAACTTAAACTTACACAAAGGTAGTATATAGCTATAACCTCTAACGTGTAATTTGCAGAATGCTGTCTACCATCTTCGAAATAAAAAGGCCGTTAATCTTGAGCACTTCTCATTACACACTGCTTCATACAATAAGTACGTAAACATAAAGGAAATACTTAAAAACTAACTTGGGTATTGTTTTGATTTTATACGTGGTGAATTTTATACGATTTGTGATTTTTTTGCAACCTTAAGCATTTAAAAGCGGCTTTTAGGCTTTAAAAAATTTCTCAGGTCAGATAAATCTCCCTCACTCATATAAAGCTGTTGAAACACAATATTGTTAAAACTATATAATTCTATTATCTAACAAATGAAACGTCACATATCGTTTTGAAAACTCATATACTAAACATAATTACAGAAATATAGATTAATTGATCCTGCGAACGTATTCGTAACTAATCAATCTGTGAGCTTTAATTAAACTGCATAATTACTCATGCTTTAACTAATTAAACGGAGAAGTGTTTTCAACCACACTTCCTGCTATTATAGTATCAAAATGGTAATGAGTGTTAACCATGAAAGCATAAATATAAACATGATACATTCAAAACACATTACATTAGTAAGGGTTGTTCAGATTATTTCCTCTTTTAATACCACTGATAAAATATAAAGAAAACCCGTACAAAATTTCATTCAATGCTCTGAAGACTTAAATTTCCTATTCATCTCAGAAGCGTAATATAATTGCACTAAATTCACCAATATTTCTCCCATCTTGGGAAGTGGGTAATTTAAATACATAAATATTATCCAAATTGGACAGCAAGATATGAAAACTTTAAAAAGGTCATGCAATAAATTAGAGACTGTATTTCGAAGACTTAAATTTTACCTTTATCTTAAGAGTAATATACATATCTTAGGATCAATTCTTGTTTGGTGGTAGGTGATTGAATAAGTTAAAACTTAGCCAGAACTGACAGAAAGAGTCCAAGGGTACAAAGAAAGAGTACAAAGGGTTAATATTTTAAAGTTGAAAGAGACAGTCGTACATAAAAGTGATTAACAAGGGATATGAAGTTATAAGAATAAGAATTGCTAAGAAATTAAATTATTTATCTTGCATACTTACACCCCAAGAAAGTTTTTAGAATCGAAGATCAGTAAATAATATTACTTTCCATCGATTAGCCTACACACTTTACACGCAAACTAATATTCTGAACTTTATAATTTGTTGACACACTTATTTGAGGGCACAAAATAGCTGATAAGTTAAGCATATCAACACATTTAACAAAACAATAATATTAAGGTATTTTATACAATTTAGTATCAAGCAGGAAACATAAAACATACTTAGTTAACTTTCAAGTTTTGCCCTCGAAACCCATCAGGCTTAACAACGCTGTTTGTGGATGTTGAATTGAATGTTTGCCCCAAGCGAAGCCTGTTAAGACTAAGTGAAACAAGTTTTCAAACTTTTCAGTCGGATTATCGGATTTAAGTGTTAAAAGTAAAATATTTTTTCAATCTTGTTTTATAACTTAGAACCACGTCATTTTCAAAACATTTTGGTTATTTTAAGGATGACGATTTTATTGCAGATCAACAAATAAAACAAAAATATATATTTATTATTAATTTCTGAATTTCAACATCTCTTGTCTTCTAAGACCTTTTTAGTTATATACCTAATTTGAATTGTAAATATTGAAAAAAGTAAATTTACACAAATAAGCTGTTTAACACACATAATTCTTTCATAATAATTTGGTTCTACATTTTGTATGTTTATTTTGAAGTGTCAGCTAAAGCATATGCTTAATCTCTGTGCTGGTTCATGGTCAAAGTCTACATGAGTCGTGGGATTGCTTCGAAAAGCAACCCCCATAAAGCACTATTACGAAAAGACTTCACATCAAAGGCACAACTCCAACATTAATGTTCCAAAAATAATGTGATGATGAGGCACTGCTCCGAAACAATAATGTTATGTTTTAGGGTCTCCTAACCTGAAATTCACTTATCCTTTTTAGCTAAAATGTATACTCAATATGTTTCTTGTTAATCTAGTAGTGACATTAATTTTTGTATATTTACTCATATACCAATAGGCATCAAAACGAATTATAGTCCTTGTTCCCTGCAGAAACAGTATACACGTAGACAAAGGGTTTTTGTAGTGGGCTAATGTAAAAATTCATCGATTTTACATTAAAAAATACAATATATATATAAATAAAACAACGTAAACTAAAATATACCTTGGTGTTAAACTTGTCAAAAATGTTTGTTGAATACTTAAAAACCTTGAATATTCGAGGGCTTAACTCTCTTCTTATCTTAGTAGGTAAAGTTTCAAAAGTAATAATGAAGCTTTTAAAAGCTCTATTAAAACTTTTCTATTTCGTATCCAGTAGTCTACGAGCCCAGAATTTATTAAAGTAAGGTGAGAGCCTTGTTCTTTGTAGGATTAAAAGTTTGAAGATAGTTTGTAGACATTGTCAAGGAGAGTAAGGAATATTATTTTCCTGTAGAGCTTTCGTGATCTATATTTTAAAAAGGTTTACAAATACATAGCTTAGGGTTTAGTTCTTGTTTAGGGTATTAAAGTTAAAATAAAATTATCGTTAAAATGAGCTTTATACTATAATGCTATATAATGTATGACAATAAATGTTTAAAAATGCGCAATTCTTGACTTGGATATTATAGGTTTATTGTCGTGATAATGCAGCTAATAAATTTTAGTGATTTTATTCATCAGTTTGTTTCAATTACCAAGAACCTATCTCTAATTGATAAATTATCGTAATGAAATGTACTACGCAACATGTAGTGCGGTACAAAAGTAGTTTAAGGACAACTAAACGAACCCTGTAGCTGACACAGAGCTTAATGCTTACCCTGGCTTTAATTGTGTTTCAATGCATTGATCAACTTACTGTACATGTTTATTTCACTATCAAATAAATTGAAAAACTGTGCTATAGGCCTATTAGGTGATAAGATTAAAGTTGCCTTATATGAAAATAATAAAACGTAATAAATGAAAGAACAACATATCAACTATTGGACTGAATTTCCTATAATGTCTTTTGTCACTCGATGTAATACAGTGAAAACATCAGTTGTACAAAATTCTAGGTCTAAAGGCTTGACAAAAACACATGTTTTCTTACGTATGAATTATAAAGTAAGACTGAATAAGCCGTTGGGTTTTGAGCTTTAAACACAATTTAGAATTAAATCAATCATAGTTCTATACAGGGTGACAGTTGCGTCTTAGGGCAACTAAATAGCTTTAAAATGATATATCACAACCAAGTTTGGCTTATTACTGGTAATAGTGAGCTACTTTTAGCGAATTTCCCTATAGGGAAGTAGCTATTACCGTAGGTCTCATGGTAACACTTAGGCCCGGGACCGATTTACTTTTTCATTTTGATGTCCCCAGAGGCCAAAAACACCATTCGTTCAAATTTTTATATATGT